ATGTCCTCTATCATCACTCCTATTCAAAATAGTTCTAGAAACATTAGCCAGAGCAATTAAACAAGATAGAGAAATAAAAGGAATAAGAAAATAAAAGGAAAAAGTTAAATTATCAATATTTGTAGATGAAAAGACACTCCATAGAAGACCCCCAAAATGGCAAGACTAGTAGATTTAATAACAAAATTCAGTAGCATAGCTGGATACACAAAAATGTATCCTGTACAAAAACTAAAACAAAAAAAATCAGTGAGATAGAATTTACTGAAACCACGCCCTTAATAATAGCATGCAAAGATGAAAAACTTATGAGTTAATATAACAAAGGAAGTGAATAATGTACATTGAAAATTATAGTCTTCTGAAAAAGGAGTTTGAAGAGGAAATCAGAAAAATGGAAACATACCTTTTCTCATGGTCAGGAAGAAACAACATATTGAAAATGGTCATACAACCAAAATTGTTGTACAGATTTAATGCAATCCTTATCAAAATACCATTAACATAGTTCACAGAACTAGAGAAAATGTACCTAAAATCCATGTGAAAGTGTAAGGGATCTAGAATAACAAAGGCAATTCAGGACAACAAAGACAAGGTAGAAGGCATCCCAGCCCCTGGCTTGAAATTATACTACAAGAGGGGCTGGGAAGATAGCTCAGTAGAATAAGCACTTGCCTGGCAAGCACAAGGGCCTGAGTTCAATCCCTGGTTTTGCCAAAAAAAAATTATACTATAATGTTACTGTGGTAAAATCAGCATGACACTGGCAGCAAAACAGACCTGAAGATCAGTGGAACAGATTATAATATGCAGGCACAACTCCAACACATTCTGCCACCTTATCTTTGACAAAGAGACCTAATATGTTCACTGGAAGAAAGCTAGCCTCTTTAAAAATGGTGCTATAAAAATTGGCTCTCCACATTCCAAAGATTAAAACTAGACCCATGTCTATCACCATGCACTAAACTACAGTTAAAATAGAATACATATCTAAATATTAAAGCAAAAACACTGATTCTACTAGAAGAGAATGTAGGTGGAAATCCTGAAGACATAGGGACAGGCAGGGAGTTCATGAACAAAAACTAAACTGCACGGGAAACACTTCAAAGAATCCACAACTGCGATCTCATCTTATTAAAAAGTGTACACACATCAAATGAAATCAACAACAGAGTGAATAAACAACCCACAGAGTAGAAAATACTTTAGGTAATAGACCCTCAGGCAAAGATCTTGTATCTAGAACATATAAAGAAAATTAAACTAAAATTTAAAGGTCTAATCCAAACATGAGCATTAGAAATGAATAAACAAATACAGATACCAAATAAATATGTGAAAAAATGTTTTACATCATTGGTCATTTGAGAGATACAAACTAAAACTACAATAAGTGTCCATCTTATTCCAGAAAGAACGGTTATCATAAAGAAATCAATTACAAATCCTAGAGGTCCTGTATAGAAAGAGGAACCTTTCCCCATTTTTGGTGGGAATGCAGGCTGGTACAACCACAATGGAAAACAGTGTGGAGATTCCTCAAAATCCAGGAGTAGAGGTCTCATTTGAACTAGCTATTCACCTACTAGCTACTTTCCAAGAAGGATTGAAAACATTATACCACAGAAATGTATTTGCACCTATGTTTGATGCAGCACAATTCATAAAAGCTAAATACTAGAAACAATATAAATGCCTATCAATCAAGAAATGGGTTAAAAAGATGTATTTTTATATAATGCCATCGTACTCTGCTATAAAGAAGGATAAATTTGAGAGTTTTATACGCAAATGGATAAAACGTGACCATATTCACAAGTAAAATAAATCAGTTTCATGTGTGTGGATATCATATTGTCTCCCCAGTGTAATAAGTTGAAAGAGTATATAGGATTCAAAATATACAATAGATATTGGGAAATGGAAAGAAAATGTTCAAATGGAAAGAAGCTGGAATGGAGAAAAGGAAAAAAGAAGGATGTGAAAAGAAATTACAGATAAATAGATAGAGGTAGCTATACTACTAATTTTTATTAGTTCATGGAAAGGAAGGGTTTGTGCTTACATTGTTTGATCAATTTTCATGCCTATATCATAATCTGAGTAGCTACTTTGAAGATAACAATAAGCAATATACTAACCTTTGTTACTTTCCTACGTTGTTTTGAAATTTTGTGTCATTGTTTTTCATGTTTTTTCTCCTTAAAATAAACAAAATTTAATATTTTCCTAGAGAACTTCACTCACACAATGCATAAAACTCTGAAGTTATAGCTCCTTGGTTACAATCCAAAATTCATTACTTGAAAACCTGGAGCCAGTCATTTAATGTCTCTGTGCCTCAGAATTTATCTATAGAATAGTGATAAGAACAATAGCTATTTCAGTGTTTTCTAAGGACCAAAGAACTTGTATGTTTCAAAGTATGTAAAAGTTGGCTGGAGCATGATAATATATATTAAATGCAATCTACTGCCACCATCATCTCCAAATAGGCATGATTTGAAAGCCAGACTTTTGACTATATCTATGATTCAGCTCCAAAGAAAAGAGTTTAGCCATCAGTAATAGGCCCTGCCTCGTGATTTTCTTAATAGCCAATTAGAAAGTTGGTTTACACCTATAAGATTCTGTACCATACCAAGCTGTCATCCAGGGTCTCCTTAATCTTGTAAGTTTGAAAAGAGTATTACTTCACTCAAGTAAGCACCTTTACCTCCACAAAGGAAGGAATAATGAAAATGCAGACACTATATAACAGTGGAAATTTAAGGGCTGGCAAGTATCATATTCTGGTGTTTGACTCTACAGTCTTGGTAAGTCAGTCACCCTGGAGGCTTGAAGAATATGGATGAAGTATATAGAAGACCAGGGACTCTGGCTGAGTAGATTATTATGGCAAATTATTGTATCAGCCAGCATGAGAAGCTTGATAGGACACTTCCTGATGATTAATTGAAAGGGAAGAGAAGGTATAGAAAAGCTCCTGGTTGAACTGGAGTGGTGCCAGAAGAACTAAAAGTGAAAACAAATCATCAACCTCATTATTTTGTAGTAACTTTCTCACTTCCATTTGAGGTTATTAAGTGCTGGGGAAGTGATTCCAATTTAACTGGTAAGAAATGAAAATACAAACAAATTTGATGATTCACTGCTGGTTCAATTTTTATTTCCTTTGCACTCTGCTTCTTTTAATAAACAAGACTGAAAATTAGATTCCATTTTTGGATTCATATACCCCTGCTTTGTCTTGAAAACAGCACAATAACTTCCTATTACAGTCACAAAGGACTAAAAATAGCTAATGGCCTTATCTATAAGACCCCCAACAATGATCAGAACAGAATCAGCTGAATTGATTAAACCAGTGACTATATTACTGCCCATTGTGAATCATCTTTGATTTTAGTTTCAACTGAATTAGTTTTCAGTGATTTGGTTTTCCTTTCAGGCTGAGGTCAACATGTTAAGATAAGGCAGCCTGATTCCATGGATTTTTTTCTCCACTGTGGTTTCAATATGTGCTTCTTGATTAGATACCTGCTCCTGCCGATTGACAAGTATGATGTCTGCTTCTAAGCCCTATTTAGGTCACTTGGCCTAGCCCTGAGGCTTTCTACCTGACCTGAAAGGGCCCTGTTTAATCTGAAATAAACACATTACCTTGTGTGTGATTTGAGAACTGGAACATTTCAAACTACTGTGAAGGACTCAATGAATGGAGCTATTATTTCTCCAGTTCTACCATGATTTCTGGAACAGAGGATCTATCTAGACCTTGAGATGCCTGGAGAAATCTTCCTCTATTAATAAGACAAGTATTCATGTTGCAGATAACATGGAAGTATCCCTTCACAGCTATGAGAATTTTATTTATTTTCTGCCTAGAGGCAAGACAACAAATAAACACAAGAGTAAGGTACCATGGCACCAAATGAATGAATGTAGTGGTCTGTTCTCCAGTCATCTGTAACCTTTGACAGAAAGAGTGGAAACATAGGTGGATGGGATGAGGGAAGGTAGAAGCAAGGGCTTGCATATTCTTGGTTAATCACTTCCCCAGGCCACGGACTAATCAGTGGGGTTTTGATTATCCCATCGTTATGGTTTGTGTCTAGTTGTCCCCTCAAAGCCTCATGCAGTCATGGGGCAGCTTCTGGAGTTTGTGATTGATTGTTGTAGGTGTGGGTGCTGCACTAGCCCTGTTACAGGTAATTTTCAGTACAGCATAAGGAGAGAAGAGAGACTACCTAGATGCCTGAGCTGCTGCCACTCCCTTTGCTCGCTTGCTTTTTGCCACTGCTGCCATGAATGGCTGCTCTGTGCCATGTACCACACTCTACCTTGGAGCCAGATGAATATGGACTGAAATCTCCACAAACTGTGAGCTAAATAAATCTTTCCTTCCCTAACTGTGAGTGTCTTATATTTGTCCCAGCAATGAGAGAATAGTAACCAAGGCACCCATAAAAGTACCAGAGTGCCTCAAGTCTAATAGCTTTCTGGTATAATGCCAAGTTACACTGCATTAAAAATAGTACTTAAAGGAGAACCAACTTTTCATAGCAGGCATTAGATCTATACAAATTTCACCAAGATGAGCTCTATGGCACCTAAGAATTATAGGCAAAGAACCAATAGTTCTGTGTCTTCAGTGCCCAGCAATATTGCTACACTGCGGAAAATCAGTCACTACAATGGAAAAACTGTCAGCCTAAACCTCTTCTTAGTGCCAATTCTAAAAGATGGTTCCAAAGAAATCTAATTGGGAATGTCTTACTAAACTGAGACAGTTGTTATTTTGTAAAGTGAAAAATGATATGTGTTCTATCTAGCCTTCATTTTGAATGGGATACTAGTGGAAGTAATATACTGCTTATATTTTTATTCCTAGATAACAATATTCTATAAAAGTGCATCCTTCAAGTTTAAAACACACAGAAAAACTCATATAAAAAATTCACTTTAAATGTCCCTGCTAATTAACATACCTTGTAGACATCATGACTGCCAATGATTGCATCAAAGAGTGTATACAGGTCATTTAGAAGATCCACTACCTCAATAGGCTCACTCATGGCTGAGATAGTGGTGAAGCCCACAATGTCACTGAAGTATAAGGTGACCATGTCAAAGCCTTCAGGTTCAACTGTGCAGCCTTTTTTGAGGGATTCAGCAACTGATCTGAAAAGCAGACATAAACAGTTCCTAAGAAGACCTGAGGGCCAGGGAAATAGCTCACTGCCATAAGCATCTGCTCGGCAAGCACAAGGTCCTGAATTCAATCCCCATTATCACAAAAAGTAAAAGAAGTCACGAGCCTCTTTCTATGCTACATACAACTATTAAAAACAGCACTTCTTCAGAAATCATTGCTAAGTAAATAATGAGAACCAAAAAAACAGCCAATTGGATAAAAGTACTAATCTATTCACTTATTCTATAAAATATACTGACTGCTTACAGTATTCCAGGAACCATGCCAGGTACTATAATATAGCCCTGAACACATAGTTTACTTTGTACTTTCATTGTTTTATTTTGCAGTTCTACATCAATATCCTCCCTAATTCTGCTGAATGTTCCCAGGTGGTTGCCTTTTCTTAAGATTAATTTTCTCCAATTTTCTCCTAGAAGATCATATTACAAATGATAAAGTGCCTGGGAAAATTTGGAAATTGTAGCAACAGGAAAGGTTTTCAGCTTAACTGAAAGGGGGGGAAAAACAGAAAGGCTACATTGCCACTTTCCTCTAGAAGCTGAAAGTGATGTCATTTGTGACAAAATCTCAAAGTAACATATTGAAAAACCCAGGTACCAAAATTTTAAATGACCATTATGATGATCCACAGGCAGTAGAAAATTAGGATGTGTGGTCTGTGTCCTTGGTTTTCAATTCTACCTTGATTTGAAAGTGTGGCTCAAACCCACTGGGAATAGAAAGGATATAGTACAGGGAGAGGGAGCAGTTAGTGGACGGGTAATTTCTTCTTCTATTTAAATAGGAAACATTGTTAAAAGTATTCACACTCCTCAGGTGTTCACACAAACGGTGGTAGCATCTGTGTTAGGAGTTTTTCTGTTTTCTGCTTTTCAATTTCCAGCTCCTCAGTCCGCTCACGGATTAAATCTTCCAAGTTGCTAGAATATTGCTCCAACATGCGAAGCATAGAATCAATGATATTGGTCTTTTTCCCCTTATTGAATGTTTTAAACTGTAAGCAAAACCAGAATGAGTAAACAGAGAACGCTTACTTCCCAAATTCAACTCAGGCTTTCTTATCACAAATCTTTTCCTCTAAAAATCTCAGGGAAAAAAAAGATGAGCTCAGATATGAAGAGGAAAAGGTATCAACCATTTTTATGGCCAATCTGGCCCATTCACAGGGCTCCTTACCCAACCCAATGTAATTCTTTCCCTATTTTTCTGGTTGTGAGCAAAGATGCTCTGGGAAAGCAAGCCCTTTTTTCTCTTCAGAGATAATGTCACAAGAATAGTAACCACTTCAAAAGCAACAGAATTTGGTCTTGTGGCTAGGTGTGGTATCAGTGAGGTATGGGGAAAGAGGCAAGGAAGTAATGTTTCACTACTGTAGATCATTGGCCTACTAAATCTTAGTTATTCTGACAGCTACTATGACACCAGTTATTTGACAATAAGTGTTTCCTTGACCATTTGAAGAAGATGGAGAACTATATGTTAACATCTACTGTGATTTTTTACCATAGGGTGTACAAATAATGGTGTCTCTTAGCACATGCCCATTATGTCATTCAGGGACACGTGAAAATTCAACAGGTCTCTGTCCACCCTATACCCAGTTGCTAAGAGGTGGCTACAGGTGAAAAATTTTAAGCACATCTTTTTGGGACTTTATCCATCTCAAGGGCCTGCACATTATATTAGAATCATAAGTGATAGCTCCTTCCATGCTTTATATTCAGCAAGCATGTGGCTGTTTTCATAATAAAGGACTAACAGTAGCTTTGCTGAGCTAATTTCCAAGGCTCTGAGCCAAAGAACCTTCCTATACAGCTAGGAAACTTACACTCTGTGTGAAACCCAATGCCCCACAACAGACATGAGTTTCCTTCTGAACCTAGTCTACATCTGTATGACAGCCAAGGTACTGAGGTTCACTGCATCAGCCAGTTCAGACCTTTTGAGCTTCTCCTATTGCTTAATGTAGGGAACTTACTTCTCTTTTCACTGAACTGATATTAACTGCAGCAAGTTAGGAAGCTAGGCTTGGCATCAGACAGGTTAAACTTTCACTGAAGCATTTTAGTGAGGGTAGCTTCAACAATGTCTTATTTGAAAGTTGAATAATGTATAATCCTCCTATCTATCATTGGCTTTTTGCTGCCTTCTGAAATAACATCTCTAGCATCAGCACAAGGGCAAATGCATTTTCTCCTTCCTCATCTTAAGTTTTTAGAAATTTGACCTTTATGGTCCTTTGCTTTTTCCATACTATTGAATACCTGTTTGAGTAACCTCAAGAATCTTGGCCAGCCTAATGGAGGCATTGTTAGCTGGGGACACGGATGACTTCATAATCAGGGCCCCTCAGGCTTTCAATCCAACTCTTTCTCTTTTCTGCCTCAGAAACCTGCCACTCAGAAAGCATCTCAGTACTGTATTCTAACCCAACTCAAAACGCCTCTGTGCCAGAGCTGACACAGCACTCCTGCAGAGGACCATAGTTTCAGTATCCTATAATTTCAATAAAGCTCTAAACTGCATGCTCTAATAGAAGACCTGTACTCTAGCTTTCCTAGCAGTGTTCACTCTGTCTTTTCTTTCATCCATTTACCCCTTTTTAAGAAAGAACCAACATCTTTAGAAACTTAGTATCTTAAAAGGTAGAGCTTATAATATTCATGTGCCTACCACCTCAAGTAGTTCCCTGGGAACCGAAGATATTTTCTTTTTTTGACATTTCACCTTTACATTTTCACCCTATCTGAATAACCTTTTAAATACCACATCTTTCTTCTGACTCTCAAAAATCAACTTGGAGTCATCTAAGTGGTATACTCATCATAGTTCCCTAGTCTGTGTAAAGCAGACATGATTCTGTGAGGAGTGCCATCTATGCCAGGATATCCATCTTCCAGCATCTGTAATGCCAAACCTCATAGATTCCTGGTGATTCTATTCCATCATTTGAAATGTTATTTAGGCCCAATTGTGTATGGCCTTGGACAGAGACTCAGACACAGAAGATACTCAGAACCATCTCTTGGGCTTTTGGAGGATGTGCTGGTCATGCTGTAGCACCAAATACTTTAAAACAGTCACACCACAGGCTCTGTCTCCAAAGGGAGTACCCCTTTCCCTTTCAAGAAGTTTCTGATAAAGATGCAATGAGTCAGCCTTGGGTAAGCTGGCTTTATGTTGGCTTCTGGCAGTGGTAAGCTTCATAGAGATTTACCTGGTTAAATATGTCATCAAAAGTTGGTCGCTGTTCCACAGCCTCAGACCAGCACTGCTTCATCAGCTGCAGACATTCTGGAGGGGCATACTCAGGAGAAACCACTGGTCTATACACAGGAGGAGGTTTCTTAAGCTTCTTTATAATTTCTGCTCACATGCAAGATGAGAAAAATTTAAAATTAAAAGTGCCATGATTCAACAAAGATAACTCAGTTTTATCTAGGGAAGGGATTGGTCAGAACAAAACATAGAAGGATTGTCTCTCTTTTTTTTCTCCATAGGTGGTTTGAGTATTGATCATACATAAGCAAAACTTACATCAGATATTTGGAAATGGAGTGAGAAATTCATCAACCAAACTATTGGTATATTTCAGGCACAGTTCATCCTGTTTCTGCAAGTTTTAATGTGCATTTTATCTGATATCTACTCTAACAGTGTAACTTCAATGATCTATTCCTCTCATCTACCCCAAATATAGGAGTTGTCCACAGTAAACCCAATTAGCTTTATCTCCTGTCCCAGGCCTATCTCGCATCTGAGCTTTGGGCCCTCATGGGCCTCTAAGCAAAGGTAATCGACAATGGTAGTAAATAGTTTAGGTTTTGTTGCTGGTCAATGAACTCTACTTTCAGAGGAACATTGAGTATAAATGAGACTATGAGCTGAGTACTCTGCATGCATTATTTCCTTGGACTTTAACCATAAGCAGATGAGGTAAACACTTATTTTAATTGTACATGTTAGGAAACTGAGGCACAGAGAGTACCTAACTTTGATAAAGTCATATGGCTAGTAAGTGAGTTCAAATTTGAATCCAGGCAATTTCAACTTACAGCACTCTGCCTGCTTCCAAACACTTCAGACCTCAATTACCTCCCAATTTAGACCCAAAAACCACTAGTGACCAAAGGTCTAGACCATTTTACAAAAGGAGAAAACTACCTGAAAGGAAAACAGAATCATTAACCCTCGACCCATACAGAGACTCAAACTGATTCCTCTGTTTCCAGTCTTGACTTCTCCAAACCTAGCCAAACCATTCAAAGAAGTCTAGCTTTTACATCTGACTTTTCTTCCTAAAATCACAACTTATACTCATTTAACCCAAAGAAGTTTGCACTAGTAATGATTTCTCCATTGCATCATTCTGCATTCGGTGTAATAGATTTTGTGGGAATGGATCACCTGGAATTAGACTGCTTCATTCACTTCTGGGCAAAAGGAATCCTTGTCACTTTTTCAGAACATCATCCATTTCAATGAGTCACCTCTTTGCTTAGGCCTAACATAATGCATGCCCTTGAGAATCTCAAAATCCAGTTTAAATAAACAATAAAGCTACTTTAGCCAAGGTAGGTTACAGCTAAGCATAGAGAGGCTGCTAGGTATACAGTGAAGAAGTCAAAGAAACCTTCCTATAACAAATTTCTGCTGGTCTACTGAAAGGAATTTATTGATTCTTCTGTTTTAATTTCTTATAACTTCTTTTTACCAATTTTGCATGCTTATATGTGACATTCTAAACAACTCATTTGAATACAACATTATGCAATATAACAACCATTATAGATTTCCTATTATTTTGTTTAGTGAAATTCTGCACCATTTCTAATGCATGCTTACTATTCTGCATTCTCTTTAAAAAATAAACAAACTAAAGAGTCAGATAAGGCAATATGGGGAGGATGGGGGAAATTCTAGCTATAATAAGGAGTACTTGCAAAGGCACTGAAGTGAGTGAGACTAAGGTGCTTGCAGGGCACCAACAAGTGTGTGATTTAGAGTGTGGAGAGTGACAGAAGATAACCTAGAGAAGCAGAAAGTGGAAGCCTTTATATGTCATGTAAAGAGCCTGGGCTTCCTTAAACAAGTAATTGGGAACAGTAGTGGACTGTAGGGAATGAGTGATGTGAGATTTTATGTATGGGAAAATAAAGCTAGATTATTAAAACTTTTATTTTAAAACAAATTTGGACTTCTAGAAAAGTTGTAAAACTACTACAATGATTGCCTGTATACCTTTCACTCAGTTTATCTTAATGTTAGTAACTTATCTAACAGTACAAAGAAAATTATAATTTCTGCAATACTGTTTTTATTGTAGTTCTTATGTGAATTTCATCAATTTTCCCTTAATGTTCCTTTTCTGATCTACAGTCCAATTCCAGATCTCATACAGCATGGCACTGTTCTGTTGTTGGGTTTTGTATAGCTGAGGACTGAAAGAAACAAGTTGCTGTGTCTTTATCTCTTCTAAATCTGTACCAGGTCCTCACCCTTTTCCTGTCTTTTGTAATTTACTCTACAGACTTTTGAAGAGTACCAGCCAGGGATTTTTTGAATATCTCTCATCCAGAGTCTGTGTGGTGCTTTTTCATGATCAAATTGCAGTTATGCAATTTTTCTGCAAGAATACCATAGACTATATTATGCCCTTAGAGCAACATGTCAAGTAGACCTAATGGCAGTCCTTGATCACTGTGTTCTGTCTGCAAGACTCTCCACTTATGCAATTATAATTTTTCCATTTGTGATTTGTTTCTTGTGGGTTCACATTTGGCATGCAGGCAGATATCTTGATTCTCCTAAAATTTTTGCCCACTTATTTAACTAGCAATATACCAATTGTGCCTGGCATTCATGTGTTTTGATAGAAAATGGAGATAAAAAATGTGGCATATCACATGGAAATACTGATACTGAGCATCATGAAGGTTACTGAAATACTTAGCAAAAAGTGTCTTAAAAGAAGATTATCTATCTATCTATCTATCTATCTATCTATCTATCTATCTCTATCTATCTATCTATCTATCTATATATCCTATAGACTCTTGGTTTATGTCACAATTTAAAAAAGGAACAGCTTCCTGAGTGGTGGTATTCCTTCCAGATACCTAAACTTTCCCTCTCTATATGCCACTTGAACACAACACTGGGTGATTTTAGACTTGCAGGCTGTTAGCAACAATCCTCTTTTGACAAATCACAAGAGCCTGGCTTAGCCTGATGATCTGGCTAACAGTGGGACTTCTAGTGCCTTTTTCTCACCTTCTGCTTACCTTCAGCAGGCAGTTCCATCATGCAGAATGGAGTACCCCGAACCATCACTTCTTGCATAATGATGGCAAAACTATAGACGTCTCCTGCAAAAGAACCTAATCTGCTGCCTCGTGGGGCTCTCAACAGTTCAGGGGCTGTCCAAAGCAACTCTGTAAAGAAAGCATTATGGAATGAATGCAGGGAGGATTAACTGATATCTACAGTGCTCTCGAGGGCTTGGAAGGCTGCTTTATAATTTTAGTAGACAGAATAGTGTGCTAGTGCCCCCTGGGGTCTGAGTCTATTATTCTAAGGAATTATACACAGGGAAAACATAGCACTCTCACTATCCCAGGACCATGCAAGCAAACACAGAAGAGATGTGGGGAATGGCAAGAAGCTTGAAGTAGAGACACTATCTGGCACTTGTTTCCGTGCTCTCCTGAGCCTTCAAGTATCAGTTGGCAGGTTTCCAGGGAAAGACAAGTGCACTGCCAGACTGGTTGCCATGGATTTGCTGTTTGCTAAGATCTATGTGTGTCTGGTAATTTCATTGTGCTGGGGCTCAAGGATTCACAAGTTGCTTTCTCCAGGTCTTCTCTAAAAGGATTAGATTCTCTTCAGCCCTCTTCTATTTCTTGTACAGCAAAAGGTACAGAAGTTACTGTGACACAGTTTTGACAATATTTATTGAGGATCTGCAATGTACCAGGCACTGTGTTAGGTAGAGTTACAACACCACAGGTATATCACCCCTCTCCCTTGTCCTCAAAGAGTTTCCAGGTAGCTGGGCAAGACAGCCATGGGCACTCTCAACCACAATACAAGAAAGATAATAATAATAAAAGCTACTCTATGGTACAGGGAAATGAATCTATTAAAGACCAAATTTGAATGCCACCGAGTTTCCTGCTGCATTTCAGGCCCCGTGGAGGACAAAAGATTATCACTGCTTTCAGAGCTTATGGCAATCAAAAAACTTGTATTTAAGAAATATATAAAGAAATATAGTCTTGTAGAAAGAACAGTCAAGAGTTGGGAGGTATGCTTTAGTGTTAAATCCTATAAAACTGTTATTTCCGTGGATTGAAATAAATATAGTCCGTTTCATCATGTTGACGCTAATGAAAAACTGAACAGACCAAATTAATCCAGGAAGGCTTCCTGGAAAAGTTAAATCTTAAATAGTTTTGTTAAGAAGGTCAAGGATGCAGCTTTCTGGAGCTGAGAAGGGGTTTTGCAGGGAGAAAGAACAGTATGTGCAAAAGAACAAGAGGCAGAAAGGAGCAAATTGCGGGTGGTTGGAGGGTGGTAAGCAGATTAGCTTGGCTGAAGAGAAGGGCTCTGTTAAAGAATAATGAGAAAAGAGAAATAGGGTTGATGAAGTGGGGGAGGGCGGGTGCTGGAAGAATGAGGGCAGAAGGTGAGAGGCCCTGAGAGCCAAATGAAGGCATTTGGAATGAATACAAGAGGCAGTAGGGGTGCTGGAGCTGGAGAGGGATTTGATGAAAGCTGTGTTCAGGAAGATTAATCTGGCAACCTGCACAAGCAGGGTTAAAGGAGGGGGACTGGAAGCAGGGAGACCAACTAGGAAATCATTGCAGTAAGAGTCTGTGCAGAGGTGAAATGGGCCTGAGTGGGGGTGGGGATAATAGCAACAAGATGGGGGAACAGATACATTGGAAGATACAATGGAGAAGAAAGTGACAAGGCTGGAGTTAGGCTCCCTGTGCCTTGGAACAAACAGGTTGACAACCAGAAATTGGGAGATTGGAGAATGTCTGATTATAGATGTAAAGGGGAAAGTGTCAAGGACCTAACTTTTCATTTTGTTAAATTTAGGGTTTAAGGAAGTAGCCCAAAGGAACAAATTCCTATGAAGCAAGAAGGTTAGTAAAAGGGCAGAGATTTTTCTGGTTGTTGGTGAAATCTAGGAAAGAGAAATCTACTGTGGAAATTCTTGCTTTCACTCAACACTAGTCACAATGATGGAATAGGAAATTCTATCCTTATTCCTCATCATGAACACATCTTCTCTCTTTGCCATTCAGGTATCCCCAGACTTTGTGGCACCCTCAGTCCTTTTGATTTCCCACCTATCACAATAAAAGTCTCAAGCACATTGAGTATAGTGGTTTTGTCTTTATGTCTTCCTGCCTACAAGGACTGATGTGTACAAGTAAAACTAAAAACAATTGAATGGCACTTTAGTCAAAGGAATGCATTTCTAACTGTGGGATTTCAAGCACCATGTTTTTTGGTGGGAAGGGCAAGGCTGTACATTTGGGAGCAAGGAAATGGCAGGTGGCTGCTTCTTTGCAGCATCTTCTCTCGCTGCACGTTTAGAAACATGAGAAATGAAAGGAGGACAAAACTCTCTTGTAAAAAGCTGGGTGAGTAAATACAATCATTACCAAGTAGTATTTTCAGACTGCACTAACATATATGTTGTTAATGGCTAAAATGAGGTTTTATCTGCACTGTTATTTCTATTCTTCATATACTGAGAGTGAGCAGTATTGAATACACTTACAATCTAACTCCATTTCCTCATCCCTATTCCAGAACCAAGTAAGAGCCTCTAGCTACCATTAGACTTGAACTTTCAGAAAAATTAGAAAAACTACTTTGGCTTGTTTTGTACCAGGTGAAGCCCGCAATAACTGTGAGACTTCCTCTGGTATTAAAATCATTCTGAGCAAACCAGGATGTTTTAATACAAAAGAACACAGAACTAGAACTCAAGAGACCTGGGTTTAAAATCTCAACTTGATTAGTATAAAATCTCAACCAATTAGTATACCTTTCCAAGTCTCATTTTTCCCATCTATAAAATGCAAGTGGAGCTAGATGACCTAAAAAGGCTCTATTAGTCCTGTCACCTCAGGCAAGGAAGCAAGATTTTTTCCATTTTATTTGATCAATTTATTCATTCAACAGCTATTTATTCTCCCAGGTACACTAAAGGTACTGAGGGAGGCAAATCTGTCTTCCGCCTTCACAGAGCTTATCATTTGGTGCACATAGAAGAAAGCTAACTCAATGAATTATTTCCTAACATAATAAAGTATTATAACAAATTTGGGCCTGCCAAAGATTATAAAGAGGGCAACTTAGCCAAGTCAGGTGGGGCATGGAAAATCTCTCCATGTAGTGATCCTTATGTCCTGCAGAAGGAATGGAATTGAGTTTGATCCAGGTGAATGCATGACAGAGTGAAGAGAAGAGTGTCTCAAGGAGTGGGCACAGGAAGTATGAAGTCTAGAAATATGAGAGCCTGATGTAAAGAAACAACTGGAAAGAGTTTAGCATAGATGGAATGTATTGACAGAGAAAGAAGGATTAAGCATGAGACTTTGGCAAGGTTCAGAACATGTAAGTCTCACAAGCCATATAAAAAGAATGTGAACCTTATCCCAGGAGCAATGGAAAGCCATTTTGGATTTAGTCATAGCTGAGACATGATCAGATTTCAAATTTAGAGAGCACCCTTTGACTGCAGTGTGAGAAGAAACTATAATTTAGAGAGGAAAAGATAACCACGAGAAATAGTCACACACACACACACACACACATACACACTCTGCAGGCATGCTTCACTAGTCTGTGATCAGATATCAGTACCTTTAAAAGTTGTCAGTCTGTGAATTAAGTAGAACTCTGACAAGGTAGGCATTACGCATTACTTTTTATAGATGACTAATTTTGACAGAATGCTAAATATTTGACATATCTTCTAAAACAAACATAAGGAAACTACTCCAAGCTTTCAAAGAATTAGCCAAATAATAGTCACACAACTGAGTCCTACATACACACACAAAAAAAAGAAAATGGCACTATGATAGTCTTTCACAGTGGTTATCTGTTTTAACTCTTCTAATGCATGAATGGTCAAAGAGGAAATTATAAAGTTTTATTTGGTTGGGTATAGAGGATAGGCTTCAGAGGACCTGAACCAAAATTCTAGAACTGTTGCTAAGTACCTTCAAGATTTGAGAAAATGATGAACCTTTTATTGCCTCGTCTGTGAAATCAAAGAGTTGCACTAGATTACTTGCTAAAGCTGAGTGTTTCACAAGTCTTATAAAGATCAAAGATGAGACCAGTGATGACTGGACTGCCTGTCTCTGTCAGTCATATATCTCTCTCTATACCTTTCATCTTTTTTTCTAAAGAGCCTCTTAAAAATATGAACTTACATTATAGATTTCCATCTTTGCCTTTTGGGGAATATCTATTTCTCTGTGTTTTTGCGTTATTAGGTCTCCTCCTCACACTTGCAACATTAAAACTTCTAATGCTTAAGTTTTCTGTATGTGTTTAACCCTGTTCAATCATCTTCTTTTCCTGCTTTCTCTTTTTTTCCCTCTTTTCTGTCAGTTCAGTTTCCTCAGGTTCTCACTCACCCCCCCATCTCAGATTTCTCCTGTTTTTTTGATCTGTTGTGACTCCTACAGACATTGCTTAGTGCTACAACTGGTGCACTAATTGAAAAGAGAAATATAAAATAGATGTAACAGGCATGCCTACTTATTTACCACAAGGCTACAGTTGTATACAAAGTCTTCCCACACAACCAACTCAGAACACTTTTTGCTGAGGTCCCTTCTTCACTTCTTCTTCTTTGATAGACACAGCACTGGTGTGCATTAGTGACATCCCATTCTAGAATGTACTTTGTGGGGGTCCAGTTTCCCAATTATCCCCTATTCAGTCTGACAAGTATTTATTGAGCACCTACTGTGTGCCTAGCACTCAGCAAGATTCTCCAGGGACTTCTGGGGTCTGTAAACAATGCAGCCTAATCCTCCCACAGCAGGAACTGAACATTATTGCACTGGCTTTGTTCAGAAGGATAGGCTGGGCTGAAGTTACATCATGCAGACTTCATTCAAGTCCCCTGGCTTGGAAATGAGGCTGGATTTTCAACAAAAGTGGTGAGTTGAAATCAGCCTGCAGCTTTAATTCATGGCATATTCATATTTGAAATTTAGAGTTATCTTGAAGGAATCAAAAGGGCACAATTCATTGCCTACCTTCTGCAGAAGGTTCTTCTTCAGAGAATCTTAGCATTTCTAATATGTCATTAAAGCCATAATCTGTCACTTTTAGTACAAAACGCCCATCTACCACACAGTTCCGAGACTTTAGTCTTCCATGAACAAATTCTCTGTGGTGTAAGTATTTCATCCCCTGTAGATGATAAAAAAGAATTTATTTAGCAAGTCATTTAACTATTTTGTGCTTTTAGAGCCACTCTCTGAGATTATTAATGGGATGATTTATCATGTTCCAGAATTCAGCCTTTTTCCTCATATGCAGACAAAGTAGGATTCTGATGAAGTTTTTGGGTCCCGTATAGCTGTAAAATGGTATAGCTAAATGAAGGCTCATCTCTTGTACATATGGACCATTACTGAGAGATTTACTAACATTTCAGACACATGATAGATTCATACACATATTGATACAATTGCAATAATAGGAAAAGTCTTATTTTCCTCAATAGGTCTAATGCAATTCTTATTTATTATTGGAAGGACTGGAAACACATACAGCTTTTGGGTGGACAATTTGGAAATAGCATTTAAAATGAAAGATATGGATACTCTGCGGTCTGTGGATCTACTTCTCCTCCAGAGAAATATTTACATGAAACACAAAGAGACAGAAGAATGTTCATAGCAGCTTTGTTTTTGTAATACTATATAATTAGAAATACATGGGGCTGGGGAAATGGATCAGTGGAATAAGTGCTTCCCTGGCAAGTGCAAGGGACTGAGTTCAACCCCCAGTTCTGTCAAAAATAAAAAGAGGGAAGAATAGCTGTTTGGCAGCCATCATGGGACATTCACATGTGATCTTCCAAGGCCATCATATGTGTTTCATACATTCATATTTATAATGCAGTCAACCCACAACAGTTTGTGCTGACCCTTTTTAGGTGCTTGGCTCAGTTTTACAGTCTGAAACCCCTTTGTATTTTCATGTTTTACATTTTGTGCACTCAGAATGTCTTCATTGTCCAGTATTTCCCAAGAGTCTACAAAAGACAAGATTTCTCAGGTTGGCTTAACACTTGATTTTCATTCATCACAGGCCCAAGAGGACTAACATAGGCCTCTCTCATAGCATATTGGACTGTGCTTACATAATGAGTAGAAAGGGAAGCAGAGTAAGAATCAGAAAATTTGAATTCTGTTATCATCTCTGCCCTTTAACAGTTACTTGTTAAACTCCTATTCTGTGTTCCAGATGCTACATGATAAAGTACCTCTGAACATCTATAGGAGAAGGCTAATCACATGCATCTTACAGAGAATGGGAATGACATAATGTTGTCCCTGTCCAAGTTCCTTTGAAAAGATTTAGGCCACTACACAAAAATCAAGATTGTGATAAACATATAGGAAATTAAACAAGTAATTGGTGATCTGTATCACCCCAGAAAAGTGTATTACCCAATTTGAATATCATTGCATAGAGCTCATGTGCTCCACAGAAGCTCATCCATGAAGCCATTGCTTATTACTAGTCCTTGACACATATAATAGAGGTGCTGTTTTATAGAACTAGTGATATTTTAGTTTTTCAGTGGCACTGAGTTCCACATCTACATATATAATAGGCAAAGTTCTATCACCCAGCTCTGGAGTGAGCCAATTAAGAGTGCACTAAGTAGAGTCCCACATCCATAAAGCAGAGAAATGGACTGAAAAAACAACTAGTCAATGTACAAGAGTGTTTGATTACAAACAGGAACTACGCAAAATCTGGCCCTCAAATTGAAAAGAGATCAAACACTTTCTGTATACATGCTTTATAACAGATCAGTAAAAGTACCTTGAGAAAGGTTTGGGGACAGACCTCGGAAGAAAGCTACTGGAGTGAAGTGACCACAGTGACCTTGGGAAAAATAAAACATCTTGAAATATTAAAGTTCTAGTCTACAGGGAAACTCCAAGATTTCCTCAGTGTTTCCATTGACCTTGATGAGATCCAGCAGGAGTGATGATTTAAACATCCAGTCAAGTTTCACATCCTCATTTATCAGTATGTCTTCTAGGCTTCCTCTTGAACAGAATTCTGTCACAATGGCAAACATCCCCGAATCATAGAAAAAGCCCAGCAAAGGATTAATATTCTCATGCCGAAGGTCTTTTATCTGGAAACAGAAGGGAAAGAAGTATCACAGCTATTTTCTCTCAATTAGGAATGAGAATTGCAGACATTACCTTTCCCTCATTCTTTTGACTGGTGGCAGAATTTTGGCTGTCATGGTTCCCAACTGCTAGTAAATTCTTGTAATTGTACCAGGCCATATACAAAAAAGGAGATGAACAGGCTAGGAATAATCTAATTATATGAACCCTTAAAAGCAGAAGATGAAGTCAAAAGTAAGAGACAAAGCATGAATGCTTGTACTCATTTGAAAATGAAGGAGGGAGGTTATTGCAAAGAAATGTGTGTAACATTAACAAACTAGAAACAGCCTTCAGTCTATGGTGAAGAATGGGGACCTCAATCCTACAACTGCCCTGAACTAATTTCTCCCATAAACCTAAACAAGCCAGGAAATAGATTGTCCTACTCAAGCCTCCAGATGAGGATCCAGTGTAACTGACACCTTGACTTCAGATTTGTGAGCTGCTGAGCAGAATACCCCAGCTGAATCTGTTTAGAGTTCTGATCTATAGAACTGTGGGTAGTAAATTGTTGTTTTAGGCCTCTAAGTTTGTGCTAATTTGTTATAGCAATAAGAAAAAGAATGCAATAATCGATGTGTGAAATTTCAAAGAGCGATCTCTTTTAGCATACTTATAAGCAATCACTGGAGCTTGAGCTTTCTTTCTAACTCCTTTAGGACTCTGAAATGGAGATCAGTGATCCAAGATAAATACAAAGGGCCAGGACAGTAAAAGATAAAGTAGGTTGTCTTTCTGTAAATATTTACCTACTAATATTTATCTGAACCTATTAAAATAACTTTCTTACTCAAACATCAGGCTAAAACTTACAAAACTTGTCAGAATAAACCTCTAGTATTTTGGTTACATTTTCCTTTTATATCCATTAATTTTCATTACAAGTGTTAGAAGCATATAGCATGTCCTTACATTGTCCAAAGGATGAAATTATGTGCTAGAGAAGCAGAAATAAATAAGATTTAAGCACTGTTATGAAAGAGCTCACATTCAATGAGAGGTGAGAGTCAAATAATCTGACAATTTGTTCTGAAGGAATAGGAGGTAACGTATGAGAGAGCTCAGGTTCCACCTAGATCTCTACTTCAACTCAGGAAGTCAGAGAAAACTTCCTTAAGGAGGTGATATCTAGACTGTATTGAGAGGCAATAAAGAGTTGGCAAAGTGAAAGTGGTGTGATGAAAGGTCTAAAAGTGACAGTGTGTCGTTTTGAAACTGAAACAGGTCTGGTTGCAAATTCAAGAAATTACAAGAGGAAGAATATAAAATACAAAGCTGGAGGAATGGACAGGAGCTACATCATATGGAATGTTAAGAAATATGCTATGAAATTTGACATACTATAGGTGCAGCATACATGATATCTATTATTTTTATTACATGGAGGGTAAGAGGAAAACAACTTCATAATCACTTTCAAAGTTCCACTTGTGTTCCTGAGTAAATAGTGATGCTTGATAGAAAGGGAATTCATAAACAGTACAGTAGTGGATGTGTTGGTTCCCCAACCATATCCCTTTTACTATGCATTCCCCAGCTGCTATGAATGTTAGCTGATGACTATCAATCTGCTATCAGGAAAACTGTCCTAGGCCCAAGCTAAAGATGTGCCATCTTACCTACAAGCTTAACTTCCACTCACAGACCTCAGGCAATGGCAGCTGGAGACAGTACAAAAGCTTAACTTCCTAGCCTCAAGATGGGACTCATGATACAGAATGTGCATCAACATTTCCCTATGAGATCATACTGCAGTTAGTGTCCAGCTGAGATTCAATATTTCTGAGCTTTTATCTCTGCTTCATCTTGCTTCTCTTACTCTTTTCAATGGATACTAGACTCTTAATAAATTATTTCAACAGGAATTTCTATCTTTGGCTCAGCTTTTAGAAATACTGGATTATGGCACATAGGAAAGCAAATTTGATGGTGAAGAAGGCTGGTAGATTTAGTCTGGGATATATTGCAAATGAGGTAACTATGGAGCATTAATGTGAAACTATTTCAGACTGTTGTATTTTCAGGGTTTGGAGCTCAGAACAGAAGTCTGATCTGAATGCATAGACTTGGGAATTGTAAACATGGAAATGATAGATAAAATCAATGAGACTCGGACTAGGGATATAGCTCAGCAGCACAGCACCTAGGTGGCAAGCTCTGGGTCATGAGTTCAATTGCTGGTACAAAATCAGTCAATGAGAGTGTATTAGTTTTCCCAAGGGAGGAACATATAATAAAAAGAGAAAAAGGATATATGTTAATATGTAAAGGGTATTGAAGTGAAAAATCACTGCAAAAAGACTTAGGGAGGCCACAGAAATAGAGAAAAGCTTTTTAAGCATATTTTTACCACCACAGGACAAGCTTCAGGAATGTAAGATAAATATCAGAAAGAATTTCAGGGAAATGTGATAAATACCAGAGAAGCCAAGTTTCATCAAGAAAAGTATCTGGCAAATTTGATCATCAAGAAATCATTCAGGGTGGGCCAGATAGCCACGCGGACTAGAGCTCTTGCTTAGGCAGAGTGCAGAGGCCAGGGTTCAATCCCCAGCGTGCTGTGTCGCCGGCCCCTGCGGCATGCTGAAGCAGGACATGGTGGCTAGTCTGGATACATTAAAAAAATCATTCATTACCAAAAAATTAGCATACAAATTTGTTTAGACAGACACACAAACATAAACACATGCATATTATTTATAAACACATACATAGTTGGCGCTCTTTTTTATGTATTTAGTACAGGGTCTACAGGGTCTTACTACACAGTTCGGACTTGTAGTGATTCTTCCTGTTTTTCAGCCTCTCAAGTGCTGGGATTACAGACACGCATGCCACCACACCGTCTCAGTCACCCTCTCAGGGCTACCTGGGGGCGGGGCCAGCATAGCAGGCTTGGATCAAACCTCCAGCCCCTAAGTCTACCTAACCAGGTAGCTTTACTCCACTGAGCTATCTGGAAAGCCCATGTAGTTGGCTTTCAGTATACATGGGTTCACTTTGACTTAACCACCACAGATCAAAACATTTCCAATTTTGCATTTGTATTGAACATGCACATATTTTTCTTGTCATTCCCTAAACAATACAGTACAACTTTTCAAACAATTTTTACATTGTATTAAATACTATAATCTATTATTTATTTTTTATTTTATTGAGAAACAAATACCAATGAGACAGAGTCAAAACTGATTAATAGCACAGTTTCAATAATTAATACATTGTACATTGTTATCTTCTTAATGGTTACCCATAGTACAAGATTCAGACAGGATATCCTGTCCAAACACTATTAGTACAAATCTTTCTTCTCATCGAATTGAGTGAAAGTAGCTGTATACCTATCCTAACTATTCTGTATATACAGATACAAAATGGTCCTTCCTTTGTATCCCCTTTTTTTGTTTAGTCCTGTCAGAGATGGGTATTCCATTGGCATCTAAACACTATAGGTGCGTGAATTCAGAAAAACAATCCAACAGAGTCCAGCAGTCCACAATAGTAGTGGGTTATCCACAGAAGTTGTTGACTTGAGCCTTTCACAGCTCAGCATATTAATATGGCTTTAATATTAATATACCTCATTTTTACACTTTTCTGCTGGATGGTTAAGATCTAAATACTATAATCTAGACATTATTTAAAATACAAAGGAAGATGTGCATAGATTATATACAAAATACATATATTTTGTGTTAGAAACTTGAATATCAATAAGTTTTGTATCATGGGTCTTGGAATCAATCATATGTAGATATTATATAACTATATAAGAGATCTGATTTAAAAATGGTTAATATTTAAATTTTAAAAATTGCTTACAGTCAAATACAGATTGCCACTAAACACATTTAGAATATACCTGCTCCTTTCAAGCACACTAATTCCACCATTCTTGGCACTTTCTGAAGCAGTTCAGGAAGTCCTTTTTAGCAAGTTATTGTTTTTTGTTTTGTTTGTTTTGTTTTGGTTTAGTGTGGTTTTTGCAGAACCAGGGATTGAACTCAGGCCCTTACACTTGCCAGGGAAGCGCTTATTCTACTGAGCCATCTCCCCAGACTCAAGTAACTTTTAATGGTGCTACTATGGCTGCCTCAGTGTCCTGAATCCACTCAGATGTTCACCTTTCATGATAATTTTGATTTTGAAGAAGAACCAGAAATTACATGATGCCAGATCCAGTGAATAAGGTAGATGAAGATACACCACACTATTTTTATTTGGCAGAAATTACCATTTATGGTTTGAATTAACTCAAGACACCAAAGTGCCTACAAAAACAACTTATAAAAGACTATTTCTAGGATTGCTTCAGAAAGTAGCAAGAATGATGAGATAAATGTACTCAATGAAATGAATATTTTGAGGGGGATTAATAGCATTGTATCTTTTATTCCAATAAAGATTTCTATTTTAAGCATGTACCATGTTTTGTGATCACACCTCGTATAGTTGGACATATGTACTGATTTGGAGTATGACATTTTCATAAAAGTAACTGTATTTACTGCTAGGATAGTGTTTTAGTTGCTGTGTTAGAAGGGTAGGCAGAGATTAATTTTAGTCTTACAAAGTTTCAGAAAAATTTTAAGTGGGTTAAGAAGTATTTAAAATAATCTAGATCAGGGGCCAGGAGATGGCTCAGTAGAATAAGTGCTTCCCTGGCAAGCACAAGGGTCTGAGTTCAATCCCCGGTTTTGCCAAATAAATAAATTAATTAAATTAAATTAAACAAAATAACCTATATCAGTATTGATCTGGGAATAGAGTCTCTGTTATGCTTGATAGTTTTCTATGGGCTATGGGGCTAACAAAAATCTTTAGAAACACGAAATATATAAACTTTGACCATTTGGAGGCAGTTAGCTAGGTAGAAATTATGGAACAGGTAAAATATATATCTACCCATTAAAATTTCAAATTGCTAATGTAAATGTTTCAAACATTCTCCATCTCT